AAATTCATTCCAAAGCACTTCGTTATTCCAGCATTTCTCAGTTTCTTCATGAAGTCAAATAGATTAACCTAATTAGTTGTTTTCCACAACGACTAAGCCAATATTTATTCAATAGTCCAATAACAAAGATTTTCCCTCTTGTTCCGCATCTAGGCTGACCAGAACATGTGGAAATCATCAACAGCAGCCAAGGCATTTGCGTAATTACTTTAGGCTGTGTGAACACTTACTCCAATCAGCACCTTTGAAGCATCACAGAAACCCAACAGCTCTATTAGTTTTATCAAGTTGTGGCCAATTCTCAACAGCCTAAAAAATCATCAACACTACAGTCCTGGCACACACCCAGTAGAACTCTCAGCAACAACAATGTCCTTACAAACAAAATTTAGGAGTAGCAGCAGATTTGTCCCGAAAGGGCACCTAACTCCAAGCCCTGGAAAAACCAGCCAGCACGTTTAGCTGTGCTGCTCTCACTCTGTGGCTTCTACATACTCCAAAGGTCTCAAAAAATTAGACACATCGTTTACACAAAGCTCTGTGTGCTCCAAATGGAATAACAAGAGCAGCTGTGTGCTGGCACAGGAGGCAGCTTACCTGGCAAACAGCAGGACCAGACCACTGCTTTCTTGCCAGGAACCTGGACCACTGGAACAACACCACTTCATGATGCATCCACAGACCTTCACCTACCTCTAGCAACATTCTCCCCCCTCCCCATCCCTAGCCCCCCCCAAACCACACAGCAGCTACAGAAAAACATGCTATTTTCTAATCATCAGCTACCATATCTAAACAGTGTACAAACTCACAGTTTGTAGACCGCTCACAGCAAAATCTGCTTGTCCAGCTGAAGACTGAAGCACTTCAATTCCCTGACCAGGAAAATGTGGTCCAGCCTGATGGAGAATGAGGAACACCTGGCACCCTGCTCACCCCTCCCTCTCCCAGGTGCAGGCAATCCCCAAACGAGGGTCAGGACTAAATGACCTTTAAAGGGCCAACCCAACCCCAAATGTGATCTTAAAGGAAAAATAATACCAATAATGAATAAATCTCTGCTCAACGCACACGTATATGAATATATTGTAGCTAAGGGAGCTCCAAGAGAGCTGGAGAGGAGTTTTTACAGGGGCCTGGAGGGACAGGGCAATGGGGAACGGCTTCACACCGGCAGAGGGCAGGGTTAGATGGGACATAAGGAAGAAATTCTTCCCTGTCAAGGCGCTGAGGCACTGGCACAGGTTGCCCAGAGAAGCTGTGGCTGCTCCATCCCTGGAAATGTTCAAGACCA